ATTTTAAAACCGTTGCCGTTTCTTCGCGATAAAAATTATTCCATTGTCGATTATTTTTTTGTGATTTTTGAAAAACTGATGCCATAAGACATCAGTATTAATGACACAATTTTCATATTATATTGATACAGCGTTTTGGGACTTCGGGACGATATTTGTAATCACTGAAAGAATATATTCTCAAAATTTTAGCTCTGCAGTCCATTTGCTTCTACTTCCCTATACTTACTGCGGAAGTGCCTTAAAAAAAGAAGAATAATTTGGCTACACTTTCGAGTACGCATAACCAATTCTAGAAAAGTGAAGCCATGGAAAACTGCACAATTTTGTAATAGGAATGGCGAAAATCTAATAGAAATTTTTTCCTATATTTTTTTTATTTTCTAGGTTGTATATTGCTCATAGTCATTTGGAATAAGCCCTGGATTTTCGCGGAATTCTAGGTCGTTGGCGCAGATTACCTACAAGTGACAATGGACAATTCCTTCCGGTGCTTTTTATTCGCATTCTAATTTGAAATTTCCTAAATCGTTTATCTAAATCAAATCACTCTCCTTAAAATTATTCTCAGCCTGTGCATGAAGTTCCATTTATTTTTCAGTACCACGGTGTCGAAAAATATTCAAGCAATCGCTTTCTAGGAAATTAACCACATAAGAATATTTGAAAACGCGAAATAATTTGACTACTCTTTCGAGTACGCTCAGTTTACCCAGAATAAAAATTTAGAGATCGTAAAATGTCATTAGAATGCTCTCATTGAGCTGTAATAAAAACTTTTCTAATTACAGAACATACATGCAGATAATTCTGTATGTGAGGTGTTAAATAAGCATCTGCTGATGTCGTAAATCCCCTCGGAACGATTCTGGTCATTGGCATGACTTCGTGAGACAGAGAAACATGGAGGAAATCAAAACTTTTCGCCAATTCTCCCACTCGACGTTCATGCTCGCCAAACCTGCGATTCAAAGAAATTAACGGTAGAGAAGAAAAGTCCATTGAAAAGTTTAGCCTCGCAATTGAACAATAATTACTTCAGAACTTACGAATAACTGTGAGCCAAAATAACTGCTAAACTTTGAATTCCATCCTCCTTAAGGCGCTCGAGGTCGCTTATTAAAGCCTCCTCATCAAGTTCTTGAATAACAAATAAATCCTCACCCGTAGAGCCTTTCACTTTTCTCCATCGTCCGTGATCCAAAGAACATTTTCCGGGAAGTGCGGGCACCACTCTGCACTTGACTTCAATGACTTTGGAGTACAAAACGCCGGGTTTAACTATCTCCAAGTCGAAGATGTTGGGACGAGCCTGATTCCCTATGTAGAGGAGATCCTTGAAACCTTCGTTGATGAGTAGGGCCATTTTCGCGCCCTTTCGCTCCAGGAGAGCATTAGTTGCGACTGTTGTACCCATTCGGATCCAACTAATTTGGGAGGTGTCGACTACGTCGCGCATAGGATGGCCAGTCTCCTAATAAATTTTTTAATTCTTGAGAAAATGATACACGGAGAAAAAAGTTTAAGAAAAATGAGAGGGGTTATTCACTGGTGAAATCACTGCGTCATTCTGGGATGATATCATACGATATCAGTTCTGAAATCAGGGGCCTATTCGCGAAGAAAAAACGAAGAGATCACACCGCGTGATCACGTGATCGCTTCACCCCGTGTTCCCATATTTCCGCATATTTTGAACGGAGAAATACGGAACGTGCCCTATCGAATTTTGGAATTTCGATGCGGAGTACCACATGAAGAGGTTATGTATTAAAATTAATTTATAAATTAAACTTGGTAATAAATTGATAAATAACTAAGACTTGATAGTTTAATGGAAAGAGTGTGGAAATAATGGTGATTTAAAAAAAAATTATTTCTTAACCAATAGTTGAATTTCAGAGTTGATGGTGTTAAGTGGAGTATTTCCCTGATGTGCAAGATAAGTGAAATCAAAAATTTGAAATCAGTTGAAATCATGTGAACTCATTTGAAGTCATGAAATCGGAAACAAAATCTTATGAAACACTTGAAATCAGTAATCATTGAGTCACAATATTCGATAGTGAATAACCCCTCGGAAAAATGACGAAATAAGTTAAGTAATCATAAAGCGGAATCCATTTCTAGGTCTTTTTCACCCCATATTGGGCAAATGGGATCATTATGGACGCAATTGGAAAAACGGACCGTCGAGGGCTGGGTAACCGAGCGTCGGTTGACAGATCTGGTCCCACCTTGGGCCGAACATTCGCACGCCGGACCTCAATAACCCAGCTCCAACTGACGGTGGCCCGGAGCTTCCCGAGTGGAAATTTTGATCAGGTTGGCTGATCAGAATTAAGACAGAAATCCGATACTGATCCGCTTTTTCTGATCAGGCGTTTCCGATAAGTATTCAGCCAGTTACTGACGAAACTATCTGGATCCGTCGAGACTCAGTCTTTCTTGATCGTATTCTGATCAGTCGAACAGTTCGGATCCGCACATTCGGATCAGATTTAGCTCCTCAACAGCGTTACAAGGTCTTGTCAAAAAATGACCTTGTTTAGTTTTCACGGATCAGTTTTGGACTCCAGCCTGATTTGAATTTCTACTCGGGTTGGTCATTGGACTCCAGCTATTGGTCTAATTGAGAGGGTTAAGTAGTGAAGGTGAGTTGAGGCGAATGGAATCATAAGAGTGAGAACTGAACAGTAAATTTGAAAGGGTAAATCGTAATAACAGAAAGGGGCCAGGAAATTATGTCGGTAACATGGTGAGATTTGAATGATAACGGTGGATTCTTGGGAGTAAAATTTTAAAGGTGTAATTGTAACGATAAAATGGTCAAGGTGGCCTTTGTAGGCATTGAAATCATATGATATTCGCTAATTATCATGAAGAATAGAAGAATCGTCATTAAAATTTAATCTCCATTGTTACAATTATCAGTATGATGATCTATTATTGAATCAATTTACCGATTAAACTATAGTTTAATCACTTTCCGGGATGAAAAATGTGAATCTTTTTGAGGTCTGCAAGACTCACATCTGCCCGTCTCAGAGAGTATAGCTCACCGCCACTAGCCATATTTTTGAAACTCTTCGAGATAGATGGTGCAAATGGATGGGTAACCGCTTAGCTCTACTACACGTGGTGAACTTCTGCCAGCAGACGCGAATGTGGAGAGCCATTGTGCTCACCTAGTCAGTGTGACGGATGAGTACAGTAGGACCTTACAATCGGCCGGCTGTTCGAATGGAGTGAGTAGGTTGATAAGAGTAAGACGGCCCATGGTAAACGCAGATAAAAATCAGAAGAGAAAAGGGGGAGAGGCAAGACAGACGTATAGAGAGCCTATAAAACCGTAATGATACACGGAAAAAAAAATTCTCGAATCGGATATATAATATTCCGGAATCAGGAATATGTGTATTCCGAAATCAGGAATATGTGTATTCCAGAATCCGCGATATTACATTCCGGAATCCGAGATATTATATTCCAGAATCCTGAGTACTATTCCAGAACTCGGAATAATATTCCTGAATCCGGTATATTATATTCCGGAATCCGGCATAATATTCCGGAATCTTGGATATTTTATTCTCGATTCCAAAGACATCCCTAGGGGCTTGCAGATTTGTTAGAGGGTGAAGGGAAGTCGTAAAACAATTCCCGACAATAAACTTTTGGTCGTTTGGAGTATGTGGCGTGCTAACATTTTTTCCCCTTTAAAAATACAAAAAATCGATTTTTTCACCCTCTCAATACTCTGTTGTGCCATTTTCCGGAATTTGCGGATTTTTTAGAGAGTGAAGTGCGTGTTGTGAGACATTTTCCGTTAAAAAACTTTTGCTCGTTTTGAGTATTTGGGGTTTAAATTTTTTTTTCAATCAAAAATACGCAAATAAATTTAGTTTTTCGTAGAATAATCTGTACCATGGTAGGAGATGAGGAATTTGTCAAGATTGGCCGACGGTGGCCCAATGTTGGCCAGCACCGGGCCAGCCTCGGCCTACCCTTGGCCTTTTTTCATCTCCTACTAGGGTAAGAGAAATTTTCAGAACGTAGTTTCAGGTTAAATCCGCGACAGAGGTTTGTTATTGGAAAATGTCTGACGATATTCCCTTCATCCTATGAAAATTCGGCAGACCCCTGAAAATGGTGCAAAGGGCAGATGCTAAAAAAAAATTGAATTTTCCGGAAAATGCCACTGAATTCAATTTAACGGGAGAAAGTCTATGAAATTTCAAGTTCCCGTGGAAATTCACGGACATTCCTGATTTAGTAGTGGAAAAAAAGGAAAATTCCATAGCCTACATGAATTTCCAAAACGAACAAGGAAATTAAATAAGAAATTTCAAGAAAATGAAAATTCAAGGATATTTTTGCCTGATTTTTCTTCATTTCCATTCATTTCCATCGAATAATTTAATGGAAATTTACAATTTTCAGTAAAACTGTCACTTATATGATATTTCATGGCTAAAATGCGAATAATAGGAAACTTGCATGAAGCCCAGTTTTTCTGAATTCTCCCACACATACTTTCTTCATAACCTTTTAATAACCAAACAGCAAAAATTATAGCGAAATATTGTCTAGATATTTTATACGAATGGTTTTATATCAATGGTTTTCAAGGCCAATTTTTTCGATCGTGACGTCACAAGGGGGGTTGGATACCGCTGTGTGAAGCTTGATGGGCCAAATCTAACGGGAGTAGGGAGATGTCGTGCTACATTGATTGAGGCGCACGTGGAGATTAGGTTAGGTTGACTCGAGCCATTTCTGTGATTAGTCCAGCGCTCAGCCACCTTTGTGATGTTATATCCTATCCAAGTTACTAGGAGGACATCAGCGCCATTTGGAATATTGAGTGCCAAACTTTGAAGTGTGGATCCGTTAGCCGCTAAACCTCTGATAAGGACTCCATCGATGTTGACACGTTCCCTGATAGGATAATTGGATTGAAGGTTTATTTGTGAATAAATCCAAACACCTGTGCTTAGGAGAGCACATTAACACTTTTATTCAAAATAACTCTTGACTCAAAAATCTAAAACTTGGACTACAAACTGGATGAACTTCTAATAAACTTATAAAAACTCATAAAAACTCTGAAGAAAAACTACTTGAAGAGAGAAGCTTGAAAAGTTGTCGGAACAACAGCCATGATGGGACTGACTTAAACTTAAGTTTTTAATCTAAGGGTTGGCTCAAAACACCTCCACTAGACCAAAAAGTTGCGCGCGCAATCCTGGCCCAGAGGAAAGGGAAGAGGGGTATGCTAAAACAGAACAGGGGAAATGAAAAGAGGGAGGAAGGGAAAGCATGCGACGTCGCTAGTTTTCCTCTTGAGGGGTCTCAGGCCCTCCGCGTAGGAATACAATGAACAAAGGAGAACCCAAACACGTGTGGACCATTTGAAACAGAGAAACTTTCGAAATATACCAGAATTAAGATTTTACGATTTTACGACTCTGACCGATGTGTTTATTTTTCTCTCTGAGTTTAGAATTTTCAGGAAAAGCCTTTCTGTAACGAATTTTGGAGAGTAATAAATTGAGAACTCAACTCAAGTACTTGACATTTACGATTGCTGGCAACGGTTTTTCTTACACTCGTCAAATTATTTTTTGTCCATTGTTTATTGTCAAATTTCAGACTTTTTATATTGATTTTGAAATAATAATTCAAATCTCGCGGATTAAAATGGCCGATAAATAGTGCCATCTATAAAATTCAACGTCGGGACGTTATTCCCTATTCAATTAAAAAAATTTAACTGTGTATTGAGAGGGTGAAAATCTCTATTTTTCGTATTTTCAAACGGAAAAAAAAGTCTGCCTTCCAAATACTCCGAACGACCAAAAGTTGGTTATGGAAAATTGTTTCACGACACTCACTTCACCCTCTGAAAAATCTGCAAACCCCTGGAGATGTCTCCGGAATCAAGAATAAAATACTACGGATTCCGGAATATAATATCCCGGATTCCGGAATATAATATACCGATTTCAGGAATATTACATCCCCGACTCGAGGATTTTTTTTCCGTGTAATAGGAAAGAAATATAAATAACTAAAATCTTTTGAAAACCTAACTTGCTGAAAATTCTCGTGTTTAACCTCTAAATTTCAAAATTTTACACCTAATGAAATTGATTGCTTTGTTTTTCTGATGACTCTTTCTTTTTTAAATCTCCATTTCCTGGTCATTGAATTTTCAAAATTACTTGTAAATAAGGAATATACGAATTTTTCCTACTTTTTTTCAGGAAATCCTCAAATACACGCACAGAGAAAAAAAAAGTAAATTCAAGATTTTTTTTTTAGATTCTAGAATATGCAGTTTAGAACTTGCATTCGGCTAAATTAAAAAAAAAATTAGTTTTAGAAAATAAATAGAAGAAATTAATCGACCAATAAATAATGGTTTGAAGGCAAAAATATTCTGGAATCTATCGAATTAGGGGATTAAGT